ATATATATATATATATATATATATATATATATATATAATATTTATATCTGGGTTTAAATATATAAATATATATCATTTATATATATAAATATATATCATCTGCTACAAATATTATTTACTATAAATCCAGAGTTTGACTCTCCTAGTTCCTTGTGAATAAGGGAAATCTGCACAATTTGGCCAGTTTCCTTTTCCGGCTTCACCTCTGCTCACTTCCACATTGCTCTCTGTGCTCCAACTGTAAGGAACTCTCACATTCTCTCAAACACATCCCTATCCCTCAGCACTCAGAAGATGCTCCCTTCAACATTGTTGACCTGCCCATCCCACCCCACTTCAGACTTGTACCTGGTTAATTCTTATTCATTCTTCAGATTTCAGCTTAGATATTACTACCTTCAGGAACCTTTCTCTGTCCCTTCAAGACTATGTGCTCTGCTCCTACAGCACCTTGTCCTATAGGACTCATAGCTTTAAATTAGAGTAGCCTGTCACTCTCCCCTCCTGAATCTAGGAGCACAGACTGTGTTTGTCACATTCTAATCAAGTCTCCAGCTCTTAGCATGGTATTAGGAATGTGGAAGGCATGAAGTAAATATTTATGAAACAAAATACTTGTTCCTGAAGTGCCCATCAAAATCCTAACATAATACTCAGAGATGATGTTTGGGAACAAGATGACATATTGCATTTCTTTTATTTCTTGTGATTCTATCATTTAATTTAACTCTTCGTACTTATATGTTACATGTCCATATCTGTTGTGCTGAGAGCCAGAGGAGATTGAGCAGAGGATCACATAGGTTGAAGAAATATAGACGCCTCTCACTATTCCTTGAGAAATATTTACATTTTGATATATAAGGAAAAACTGGGCAAAATTTTGATGGTTGAATCAATATTTCATTTTATCTTTCAAGTGATTCTTTTGTCCAGTCTCCTAGGTGTACTTCTGCATGATAAAAAGCACAATGTTTCTTAGTAAGAGATTTGGATAAATCCAGAAAGGTCAGTGTCAATGAAACAATGTAAATTGATATATAAGGAACAGATCACTCTGAAAACCTGCACAGATGCAAAAGAAATGTTTTAGGCAAACAGAGCAACATTGGCTCAAGCTCAGAATTGAGGCTAGGATGCTAATTGGAAGGATAGGCGATTTTAGTGGGATGTCAAATCCTGTAGGACAGCAAATAAAAATCTGATCAAGAGGGCTGGGGTTGTGGCTCAGTGGTAGAGCATTTGCCTAGCATGTGTGAGGTACTGGGTTTGATTCTCAGTACCACATATAAGTAAATAAAATAAAAGCCCATTGACAACTAAAAATATATATTTAAAAAATCTGAGCTTTGTCTTTAAATAAAATACAAAATAGGGTTGAGGGTGTGGCTCAGTGGTCAAGTGCCCCTGAGTTCAATCCCTGGTATACCCCCCACACACACACACACAAAAAAAAAAACAGACTAAGTTAGCATTAGCATTATATAATGCTGTATAATGATGCCATATTTTTGTATTTGATCAAAATTTTTCTATAAAAATAAGATATTCCAAAACAATAGCCTGGCAAATATTAAAATAATGATATTTCTAAAAGATAAAATAATTGGAAAGATAAAAGAAAGGAAAAAAACAACTTATGTCAATATTTGCTCTTATCACACTACTTACTTAGCAGGACAAAGGAGATGCTTATGTACTAGGATGTACTGCTCATAATTCAAACACAGCTACATAGAGCAGACATTGATATAAATTTATTCTAAAATAACTGAAACCTGAATATCTCTTTAAATTTCTATTTTTTTAAGGTAGAAATAACAGGGTGACAGAAAGGTTTGAGAAGGTGGTGGGAGTAGAAGAAAGAGAATGAAGACTGGCAGGTTGGGGATGATATTTACAAGATGTTTAAGCATTCAAAAATAAATGAAAGTAAATTCATTTGAATAAATGTCTGTTTATTTATAAAGCTACTTTTAACCATACACTTACGTGTGTATGACTGTAAAGTGAAAATTCCCATTTGATTTAAGTTGCTTTCTAAAATTACAACAAAGAGAATTCAAGAAAAGTGAATTTATTATAAATATGCTTAATGTTTTCAAAAGATTAAAGATTGCTGTGTATTGTTTAAAAAATCTGATCAAGAACTCTTAGATTTATGAAAGCCTGTTGACAAGATGATGGAAAGGTACATACTAATACACACAAAATTTCAAACATTCTAAGAGAATGAATTCTGTAGAGCTGCCTAAGATGGTGAAGAGGGATAGAGAGGGGGAAAAAACTCTATTCTTTTTCAGTTTTTAAATGTTATGCAAACTTCTAGTCACCTGACAAATTCACACCTGTGTTTATACTTTATTGTGATGAAAGAGGACCTTATTAGTAGATAATTTTTTTAAATGTATACATTCTTTCTAGAGTAGACAGGCAAACAGTCTTGTGTTATAGGTACAGGATGAGGCAGTGGTGGGTGATTCTGTGGGAAGCAATTTGTTTCATCGCAAACTTCTTGGGCACCCCAGGGAAAGTTTTTCTAACTCCCTTTTAAGGATCTAGGTGGCATAGTGGTCAACATACTTCAGGACCAAGAAATGGTCCATGGCTTACAAAAACAGAGGAAACCTCAATCCTGGGCCTTAGAAGAACATGTCATTACAGGGATTAAGCTATGAGCAGGTAAGTAGACTTCAGAAGGCAGTGTCCCTTTCCAGGAGCTTTGTGCAACATTTGCAGAACCTAAGAGCATAAAGTTTCCAAGTTCTTAAGAAATGGGAAATTTCACTAGACAAGGAAAGGGAGCAAGACAATAGGAGTTGGTTCAGCAACTAATGCAAACTGAATCTGTCATTACGAGTCTAGTACTTAATTGAAGCTATCCTAGTTCAGCACAAGAACAGCTACCAACTCTGAGTCAGGCCAGCAGAGGGCAGTGCGGTGAACTTTGAGACACCAAATGGCCAGGTCTTAAAGAGAGTTTAGCAGGTTCAAACATAAACCACAACTCAGAGACTTGAAGAACATGCTGGAGGGTCCTAGGTGTCATACGCACCGGTAATCCCAGTTTCCAAACTTTCCTCCTCCTCCTCCTCCTCCTCCTCCTCCTCCTCCTCCTCCTCTTCCTCCTCCTCCTCCTCCTTCTTCTCCTCCTCCTCCTCCTCCTCTTCCTCTTCCTCCTCCTCTTCCTCCTCCTCCTCCTTCTCCTTTTTCACACTAGGGATCAAACCCAGGCCTTGCACACACTAGGCATGCACTCTGCCATTGGGCTACATCCCCAGCCAGAGAATACAGTAGAATAAGGAGCAGGGGCTCCCTGAGAGATTAGGGTTGTTCTGAGAAGATAAAGAAATGATCAGCAAGCCCATGTTCCTGATGAGTAAGTTTTAAAAATGCTAGTTAGATATTAGTCTCCACTTCAAAGAAGATGGACCTATAAGCAACTGGCCCTTTTCAGACCCTGGAGATAGAAGTAAAAGACAACAACAAATTGCATCCCAGATGCTCATCTAGGAGTCTGCAACTGGCGCCTCGATCCTCCCATCCAGGTGAAATCCTGACACTCATCTTTGTCCTGTACACCTCTTCTCAGCTTATAGGGGACTTGATTGTGTACTGAGGTCCTTGAGAAGCCTTACCCCACATCTTCTGCCAGCCACTCAAAGGGGAGGATGTCCCACTCTGCTCTAAGGTGGAGAGAAGGTAAAGACATTGCTTCCTCCTTCAACTACTGGACCAAATTCATTAGGCTTTATCTTTTAAAAGAATGAATGTGCTGTGAATGATTTGTTTGATTTGTCCCCATACGAGGGGTAGAAAGGAACAAGTGAGTTGTTTTCACTGTGAACGTTCTTATTTAAATCCATTGCCCTGTCTGAGCCATGAAAAGTGTCCTGAAAGAACCAGGATCGCTGTTCTTTAAGCCAGTGGACAGCAAGTATTGAGAGAAGAAACTCCAGAACTCTAAGACACCTATATATCTCACCAACATCTAAACCCCTGAAACCCTGTGCTGTAACCTGTAAGGTCTTAGAAAGAAATACAGAAAGACATCTTGAGGCTTTGGATGACTGCTTAGGGAGGCCTCAAGGGAGCTTCCCTATTGGCAGGCAATATTTATAGAATTGGAGATTTCCTTCCATTGCAGTCAGCATTCTTTCTGGTGTTTCACCCCGAGCTTTGACATGCTGCAGGATTGCTCCTGCCCTGCTCTCTTGCTTTTGTCCCTTAAATAAACCACAAGTGATTGCTGAGGGTGAACACTGTAAGTAATGTGAACAGTGCTCAATTACTCAGGACCTTCTCTAAGTCCCTCCTGTCCCTCTCTGCATCCTTTTCTGTATTACAGTTCACAAGTTATAGAAACTGACTTCCCTGACTCCAAACTCTAGAGCTCATTACCTGACTTCCATATCTGCCTTTTGCTCTTTCAGGCTTCAAATCCGTTCTGAGTTCTTGGATCTTAGTCACATAGAGCAGCTTTAAGCATTGCTTCTGAGGAGGATACCATTTCTCCCTTCTGCCACATGTATTGACTAATGAGACCAGCCTATGGTCCCCCAAATTCCCAAAGGGTACTCTGAATTGGCACCAGTTTAGTGGGCTATCTAGTGAAAAGATTCCCTGTTGTCTGAGAGGTAAGTTAATAAAACAAGTCTGTATAACAGTGTGGAATGGCTTGTGTCTGTAATACCAGGGCTATGCCAAGAAATTCAAGATGAATTTAAAACCATTTATTTCCACCATAACTTTCAGTTGAGTGGACAAAAAGCAAGAAATCAATAAATGCTGTCAAAGGTTTAAATGTAGACAACACACACACACACACACACACACATACACAGAAACATTCCATACAGACTATGACATTTTAGCTATTTTAGCTCCAGTTAAGTATTTATTCAACTTTTGCACCTGCAAAACATTAGGGAAAATGCAGGCCTGTTCGTTTTTCATAATATTGCCACTTTAACTTCAAAAAGCTCTCTTGAAAACTAATATCTTCTGTTTTGAAGAAATGTCTATTGCAAACTCAGTAATCCCATCAGTTTCACTTTAGTTTCTTATTCTTCTGGTAAAGTCAAGTGAATATTAAGATATTATTTTATAATAGTATGCATTGCTTAATCTATTGTGTGCATATACCACCATCTCTACTTCAATTGATGTATATGTGTTTGGTTCCTAATTTGATATTCTTATGCAAATGCTCACATTTTTGTATGTGTATAGTGGTGCACATGTGTATAAACTTACCTTAAGAACACTTAGGCAGTCTAGGTGCAATCCCAGCAATTTGGGAGGGTGAAGTAGGACGATGGCTTCATTTATCATACCTATCAATATAATGGCTTTTATATATCCATTTTATAACCAGCAGCTTCCTAAAATTCGAATAATTTAAACTCAGATTTTAAAAATTATATATTTATACAATCATACCATCTTTCTGTGTAATTAGTAAGTGGTGTTAAATTTTATTAAATATTTTCTACAGAAATTTAAATAATTACATGATTTTTTGCTTTTACTATCTTAAAGTGGCAAATAAGTGATTTTCTTTTTTTTAATCAAACCAATCTTGTATGCCATGGAGAAATCAACTAGACCATGATGGATTGTCCTTTCTATACTAATATTTTTAGAAGTTTGATGTCTATATTCTCAAGTTATGTTAGATGTTATAATTTTCTTTCCTTTTTAAATTTTTTTCATAATTAAAACTTTGTATCCTATATTCTGTAAATTAATTTAAATACTGGTATTTTAACTGTAATTACATTGTATCTATAACTCAATTTGTGGCCAACTGACATCTTTTCAATATTAGATATAGCAATCCATGAGCATGGGATATTTCTCCATTTATTTAGGTTTTATTTTAAATGTTTTTCAGGAAAGTCATCTAATTTTTTTATACTCTGGTCTTACCAAGTTTTTAAATTTTATTTTCAGATACTTTACACATTTTTTCTTTCCATTAAACTGGTGTCTCTTTAAAAATTATAATTTTTCTAATTGTTGAAAGTAAAATACACTTGACTTTTGTATGCTGATCATATATCCAGCCACAATGCATAACTCTCTTATTATTTGGAATAATTAATGGCAGGGTTTTTTTTTTTCCTTTCTGTAAGTAAATAAACATTTATATAAAAATGTTTATTTTTCTTCTTTCTAACCCTCTAGTGCAATGTGGAGTAGAGGTGGTGAGGGTGACATGCTCATTCTTCTTTTGATACCATAAGGAAGATACTTCTAATGCTTCCATATTTTAAATGATGTTGGTGATAGGTTTTTGGTCCCCCCGCTTCTTTTTATCTATTTTGTTTGTTTTTGGTTTTTTGGTTATCATTGAGTAAGAATATTCTATTCCTACTTTTCCTCAGGGTTTTTTTTCATGAATAATTAAGGAATTTTGTTTTTAATTCAGAGATGTCAAATGATGTTTCTACTTTCATATTTCTCCTTTTCTTTCACATTTTCCAACTCTTTGTATTGAATTTGGTGTTATCTTAGAGCTACCTTTTATTTCATGAATTCTCCCTTTAACTTTCTAATTTGATTTTTAAATTATCCACCACTTTTTTCTTTTAACAGGTTTTCATTTCTGAAAGTTACATTTTATATTTTCCAAATCAAGCTTGTTATTTTTACACTTTCTTGCAGCTTACTATTGTGGGGAGATCACATTTTTTTCCCTTGAAACATTTAATATCTTAGCATTTATTTTCTATGTTTCATTTTTCCAATATGTAAAACCATCAGAGTCTAAATATGTTGCCTGTTATTTTTCCTTTCTCATATTCATGGTACAAAGTGTCTAGACAGAAAAAAGAACCATACTAGATATTCCAAACAGAGACATTAGTATAAGGAATTTGTTCTACAATGGGATGGCCTGGAAGAGTTTAAAACAAACAAAAAAGTGATGGAGATTCATAACTGTCAGAGCCAGTATTATTCCTAAGGCTGGGGAAGGAAAAGGCAGTATCATGCAGGATCCATGTGAACAATGATCAGTTCCATTGTGCTGTCCTGATTGCTGCTACTACTTAAAAGTCCTTACCCTGCACGTTCACTGATTTTCTGCAAGAGCCTGGGAGTCCACAGTCCCTTTGCTGAATTTGCTGATGCTGCTGGGGCCCAAGATCCCACCACCACCACCCCGATGACCCATCTGTGCTGGTATTGCATGAGATTTTAGTTGTTTCTTGCCATTATGAGAATTTAAGCGAAAAGAAGTGTCTCTCCTCCTTCCACCTTTAATCTCTACTTTTTTCCTTTGGTAGACCTGGACAGAAATAAGCTCACAAGGGAGTTTATGAAAGGTAGTTTACAGGATTGCAATTATATTGCCCCTTGCAATATAGAGGACAGCAAAGAAGTGGGAATATATTGCTGAATGCTAATGGACAAAAAACCAATATAGATCCTGCTCATGGTGTTTGATTGAGTTAAATCATCAGTTATTTAATCATCACAAATCCTCTGGGTTAGGTTTCCCAAAAGCAACAAGATGCTTTCCTTTAAAGATGGCCCTTTGTGATAGACAATTCTGATGGTCATTTGTTTTCAGGGCAATCTTTCTTGAGAGCATAAAAGGAAACGATATTATAAAGTGTGTCTAGCTGATTTTCTGCCTATTTTCATGTGTTTATTATTTATCTTCATAGTACTTTGTGTGTATATTTTTTTAACCTTTCCTGATATTAGCAAATCTGTGATGCTCTGTCTATTGTACTTTATCTCATTTTTTCTCCCTTACTGTGGTCCTATTCTCCTACATCTTTAACTTCATAGCCAGTAGTTTCAAAATGATACATTCTTCTATCACCTATTATATTTACTGAATTGTTTTGAGTTTTCAGTTCGTAATTTAAAATAGCAGGTGAATAGATGATTTTATCTTTCTCTATTTTAATAAACCAAGTTCATTTTATATGCAGGACCACACCTGCATTTTCTCCTAATAACAGCATATGAAAAAAGATTCCTCTCTCCTAATATACCAATATTCCCATCTTAAGAATTTCATTAGAGGCTGGGGATGTGGCTCAAGCGGTAGCGTGCTTGCCTGGCATGCGTGCGGCCCGGGTTCAATCATCAGCACCACATACAAACAATGATGTTGTGTCCACCGAAAACTAAAAAATAAATATTAAAATCTCTCTCTCTCTCTCTTAAAAAAAAAAGAATTTCATTAGAAAGGGTATAAATACGTTCAATGAACTTAAGTGGGAAAATACTCCAGATTTTTTTTGCCCTAAAATTAGAGCATTATAGTTTTACGTAGTAGTTGGGTTCATTTTGACAGAATTGTGCACACATGAAATTTGGTTTCAATCCCCATTCCCCTGCTTTTTCTCCCCTCACCTCTCCCTCTTCCTCTACTCTGTCAATTATCATTTTTGATTGGTACTTTCTACATATAAATAAAGATGAGATTCCCTATGGTATATATATATATATATATATATATATATATA